AAGCGTGTCGTCTAATTATTTCTGACACTACCCTAAAAACGCATGAAACAATCAAAGCCCTACTCTGAATTCTGGTGGTGCTAAACCAAGCTTTTTGCCCTGAAGTTCATGAACAGAAAGGAAAGAAAACTTCCACCTCAAAGAAGAAAAGGCTCAGCGACGTACGAGTCATTGCTCTATCCTCCCGTACGAAGCTGACAACTGCTTTGGTTTGGTTATCTGGGTAGAATTCGTCATCGAGGCCGGGCAAGGTATGTATAACGTGGCTATTTACTGCTGCCTGAACTTCGACCCCAACGAAGCTTTTCGCTCGGTTATGGGTTACGGGGTTTGGTATCTCGTGGATATCCATACAAAGTCATTATACCTGCTATAGCTGCTATTTTGTGCGCCACATAGTACACTAAATCCCTGAGATGCGGTGGGCGTGGCTGCGTATTCGAATTGAACCTGGCGGCGGCCAAGCTTTTTGTGAGATAGTTTCATTAAGATGACAATTGTCCCAAATTGAAGCATCCCACCAGTAACCCATCCTATACCATGCTCAAATGCCACGCCTACTCCGTCCCAGGGATAAGGAATATAGCTATGAATTCGTACACAATGATTAGACAAAGGTCCGCAGCCTTTCCGCAACACTCTCTCACTGGAATTTTGACAATTTGGTCCCTTTTTTCGTCGGACACATTCTACCAATTAATCAATACTGGTCCACACTTCTTCGGATTTTTTTGCCTATACCATCTTCGAACAATCCATCATCGTACATTTTTTTCCAAAAAAACATGGAAATTCTGTTTGATTATTCGTACGCCTTGTTCACGGCTTTAATGGAATCTTTTTGATGCACATGCTGTCGTCTGAGCCCACACAACAAACTAATTCTCCAGGGATCGGCTTGATAACTGTAGCTAGATCTATGGGAAGAAAATGAAACAGCCTTTGTGAGCTATCGCACCCTGATAGCGTGAGATTATTGGGCATAGTTCGTAGCTGTAACCTGAGGCAGCGTTCAGACTTCGCGACGACAGCGCGCACGTTCGACGCGATCAATGCAGTTGAAAGCATGCTTATCGATTCGCGTCGAACGCCGCGACCCGAAACGCTTGCCGTCGCGAAGATCCTGGCACGCTGCTTATCTACGTGGGCGTTACTTGCACAGGTGGACTTATCGATTAAGCGTGCCTTCACATCTTTCCCCCCCCAAAACGGTTTCCTTCCTCATTCATTCAATAAATGTGAATCGATACGAAGGTACAGATTTGATCAGACGGTCACCTATACTCTGGTGTTGACTCTAGAGCCAAAGAATCACAGAAATCATTTGAAAGGCACATGCCGAGGGATTTCTCAATGCCAATACATAGCTTTTCTTTTCATGGATTATCTGCTCACCCTACGGCGCAAGGAATGACAGCACCCCGAAACATGTCGTAGACGGACAGCAACAACTCGTCCATTTACAAGTTTGAATTCTACATAGGTTAGAGATGCTAACTCACAAACTTACTTGCATTGCTCCAATTGGTGATAGTATGTGAGGCATTCCGAACGCAGAGTGTGGCGGTGAAAGGACGATTGATGTGCGGCAGTCAACCAGCAGCAAGGCGGGAACGTGCGTGTCAACTGACTCGAACGAAGATCAAGTGCACCTTCTGTTCTAAGATGTGAACGGACTAAGGACACTCAAAGGAAACAGATAAAATCTGAAGATAAAGGGGGGGGGGGGGGTCGGGTGAAAGTGCCTAAAATCCCTTTCGGGGGGAGTCTGTGTTCATTAAAGGCGCTGTGGCTCAGCAGACTGTGTTCATACTTTGTACTGCCGTCGATTATGCTTGCCACACGCGCCTAAAGCGACTCATGTGTATGGGCCCGAAGAGCATTCAAGGTTAACGTCGCCGACTATGTTGCGGACTCTCGAAATTCGCGAAGTTAGTGAACGTACCAGCAAAAGGCAAAGGATTACGCATCACGCAGACCCGAGAGCAGGCGAGACCCTGGTCGGTCGCAACGCCTTTGCTGCTCCTGGAACTACGGTGCTGCTCATCTCATCTCGTTCAAAAAAAGAAAAATTAGAGAACAGCTGCACGTTTACGTAGTTGTAGGGACGTATCGCCTTCCAGGCATCCCAACCTAACGGGGGGGGGGGGTGGGGAGGGGCGGGGGAGGGTGGCACTCGGCGCCGTCTCTATATCCCAGCCCCAAAAACGATCAGAGTTAGAGTGCGGACGAACCAAGTCGCCGACGCGGTATTTCCGCTGAAGAAAGCAAAGTCTCTACTTAAGGCTTAATGTTGATTAGCAAAAGGCAACACAGAGGCCGCGACACGTGGCCTCCAGCTAACGTAAGCACTTCCCTTTCATTGCCTTGGCTCAGATTCGGAACAGCACAGACTACCAACGTCGCCACGCCTTAGTGCTGCCACATGTCCACTAAAACTATGTCGGAGCCAACAGCGGACCGCAAAAGGTATAACGGAGGACCATTTCAGGTGATCCGGACGACGTAATGGACCAAATGGACACGACATGCCGATTGGCCTTCAGCTCAGCGGCTCAGCATCCGAATTGACACCGATCGACCCCGAAGTGCGTATTTATCACGACTGCAATGATCATGGAAAGGTATGAATAATAGTGTTGGGTTCGTAAGGGCGCATTCTATAACAATATGAATATGGCAGTGGGGCAACTAGATGCTAAAGGAAGAGTAGTGGGGATAAAGCCGAAGGCACTTTTGAAAACGCCTCCAGTGACCTCACTTTCCCACCAGTTGATTCTGAGGGCTGCACCCGTTTTTGGCGAAGAAACACTGGGAATCTGAAAGAGGTACCAGACGACAAGATGGCGAGGGATACGAGAGATGACAGAGACGACAGACAGCAACGCACCCTCCAATCATTTTGTTAGGGGGTAAGATTGCCGTCATTCCGAAAGCACAACCTTGACATCACTTAGAGTTAGCGCCACGAAATGTCCTTAACTTTAATTCTGGATCTTCAGTACTTCCAGTGCAGCCCGTTACTCGTACAGGTCCATATCGGAGCGCTAGGTAGGGCGTGTTCACGGACTCAGTTTATTACCTTCACTTCGACCTACTAGTACGTAAAAGTCCACTCACTTGTTTCGGAAACGTTACGAATGGTCGTTTTCGCTGCGGACGCTGGGGCGTGGCAGGGGACTGGGTTTAGCGCGCCACCTGGACGTTCCACACCAATATGTAACAAATTTCAGCCATGCCAACGTGAATGGATCATCAGAATCCCGAGCAACTACATCTATTCGGGTGCTGAACCAGAAAGGACGATGGATTTAGGCACGATGAATCTTGAGGCCAGTCAAGAATCCAAATTGAAAAAATACACGCTCCAAGAGATTAATTGATTTCGCGCGCTTCTAATCGATTCACAGTGTTTGTATGCATTATGTCGCGTTCAGAGATGTAAAGACAGCTCAGTGGGGATAAACTTCTGTTTTCAGGTCGAGCTGGAAAGCGAAGGTCAACGCTGCACCCTCTGATCTAAGCCCATTTATTGATTGATTGATCGGTTGATTCATTATTTGTCACATATTTGTATGCTATGTTTCTCGAAGGGTTCAAAAATTTTCTATCCAAGCTTATTGATAATCCGGAAAGGTCCATTTCCACAGATTTATCTCTCAGTTTTTTTTTTGAATTTTGTTGAGCCGCCTGCCCCGACGGGAATTCCGACCGCGGCATTGATCTTACGCGCGTGAGAGCGATATCCATTTCTCACTTCCACAAGCCGACTAACCCGTTCCTGCTTACCCAGGACGCGATGTGGTGTAGTGGCAAGTGGTGCATCCGCATACATGGTCTAGAGGTCCAATCCTGAGTTGAACACGACTTGGCACTTCATCCCTCCAGGGCATGTTCGTCGGTGGCACACTTATTCCCCGTTTCCTGCATACCTGTCACCTATTCCCAGAATCTCGACGCTCGGGCAGTCCATATCAGGGCATAAGGAGAGGGCGGGCGCTGTGCGGGCATTTTGCACTTTCACTGCTGCACTAGTTCCGGTTTTCAGGTTTCACTCTGGTAAAGCCTGTGAACTCTTGTTAAGCTAGAGTAGGCTCGTCGAGCTACCATGATAAAACCTGTCAACCCTTGTGAGCTCATGAAATAGCTCTCTGGTTAGTAGCAAAGTGCAAAATGCCCCCCCCCCGTCGCCGAACTGCGCCGGAGGAGGGCGTGCTCACAAGTTGGTTCGCGGCAGCGTATCTGTGAAGTGGTATCGCGTCAAGGTACAGACGAATAATAAATGATTCAGAAAACTGAGCCACATTGTCATTTCTGCTAGGCCAACACATCCCCTCACTCCCCCCCCCTTCTCCGGTTTCACGGCTCTCGCCACGTTCATAACAGAGTCCGTGAACCGCCCGCCACATCCCCCTCCCCAAGGCTGAGAAAAGTAGGTATAGAGAATCCACCTTTGTGTTTGGTTTTTCGGAAATGTGTAGTCATCTCTGGTCATTGTGTTTCGATGGTTGTGGTGGCCTATGGCGTCAGTAGCAGACAGCAAAATTACAGGGTAAGTATTTCAATCAATTATTATTCCGTCGATTTCCAAAGACTTGGGAGTACAAAAATATGAAAGCGATTTTCCTATATTGTATATACAGTTGAGCGCTCACCGGACGGTGGGGCGTTCCCTACGACCACGCTGGCGAGCGTTCCGGTGATTGCGTGTCGATGGGAAGCCGAAAACTTTCGGGAGAGATTATCCATCATTGGTTCTCCGTCTCTTTACTCTGCCACTCTGCGCTACTAAACAACACTACCGCCGCACCGTCTACCCACTCTTCCGCTCTGGACTCTTACCGATCGATAATTGCTGACGCTCTCGATCAGCTGATTCCTGCCGCATTTTCGCAGTATTTTTGCTAGATTTCAGCTTGTTAAAGCTGAAATTTTTCGACTCTTGACCTTCAATGTTCGAAGGTGAGAGTATCCTTACTGAACGTTTTCCACATTTAAAATGAACTCAGCCATGAATTCCCTAAGAAAAAAAACTTGAGTTTTCTTTCTGATTTTCGCAATTTCTCCAAACTTTTCCTTAATATCCCCATTTATTTTATGATATTGACCGAGTTTTCAAAGCAGTGTCTCAGATGATCTCGCTATTATCGAGAACCATCTCTGACACATTTTTGAAGCTCGAAGTTGCCTTAATGGTTCGCTTTTCCATGCTAAAATTCCCAATTCCAATTTTTTTCTTTCCCAATTTAATGCTAAATTCATGCAAAATGTGATATAATTTCAGTAAGAATACTCACCTTCGAACATTGAAGTCAAAAGTCGAAAAATTTCAGCTTTAACAAGCTGAATCTAGCAAAAATACTGCGAAAATGCGGCAGGAATCAGCTGATCGAGAGAATTATCGATCGGTAAGAGCCCAGAGCGGAAGAGTGGTAGACGTGTGTCGCCCCTGTGTTAGAGCGGCAGAGTGCAGGTAAGCAGACGCCAGAGCAGGGTTTTGCGGCCATCCAGCCGAAAAGCAACTCATCGGGCCGCTCGGCCAAGCGTAGGCCTTAGGACTGCCCACCGTCCGCGCTTGAGAACTGCACTGCTACCACTTTCACTCGAATTTACCAACTTCATTCAACTTTTCGAAGCAATATCGTGTTCATCATTTCCAAGCGAATTCATGAGGCATTCTTACGAAAGTGGGCCGAGCTCCTAAGATTGGGCGGGGCTTCTTGTAGCTGTCCAAATAAGTCAAAATTTTGACAAGCAAAAATTCAAAATTTCGCAAGAAGACAAAATGGCCAAAAAGTAGAGCTACGCCATGGTGTGTATGATCTTGTAAATTAATGGTCCGGGTAAGAAACTGGCGAGTTTGATGCTGGAAGCGGTGAATTTGAAGTCAAAAGTGGCGATTTGGTTTGAAAAGTGCTGAATTCAAAGTGAAAATGTTGTATATGCTTGTTATATCCTCCAGGTTGACCTCACTATGTATTTTATTTTGCTGTACATTACTGTCCAATTTTATCACATTAATCCAAATTTCTATTTCAGGTACGTGGTGCTCTGATGTGTGGCGATAAACCAGCGAAAGATGTGCAAGTGAAATTAGTCGATGATGATTTTGGTGGGTAATAAGGTTTTAAAAAAACCATATGCTACTTTCCCGGCCCAGCATGCGTTTATGCTTTCTAAAGTACACGGTGCGGGAGAAATTTCCCGATGGTGGGATTTGTACTCTCCGCAGTTTTGTTTGCACTAGCCATCTTCGAGAAAGTATCTTCGAGGTGGCAAAATCTTCGGAGAGTTTCAGCAGCTTTGCAGTACTCAAGGATTTGGGATGGATTATGCAAAGAGCCTGCGTCGTACTGGTCCTGCATTTTTAGGGTTGCACGGCTTGGGCTATAGCGCTTGCCGTGGGTTACGGGTTTTGTTACGGAGTAGAGGGAGCAGTCACAGGAAGAAGCGGTTTCGTGCACTGTATTCTTGTGAATTACTCCCTGCTTTTCACCACAAGCTTTTGCTGCTCCTCTCGAGTAATGCCACAAGTCGAATTCATACTTCGCGATTCAGTCGTGCGATTTGAGAATAGCACGACCCCGTTGTAATCAATAGTTAGGCGACTGGAAGTGCCCAACGTTTCACGACACTTTAAAATGAAACTCCTGTCGACTTTCGCAGTGGTCCCACGATTGGCTGCGGAGCACGCGTGGATGTAGTCACGCGATTCAATCGCTCCTGTTGCGAAGTATGAACGCAGCCTAACCTCTGGATTTCTAGCTCATTTTTACCACCTTTCAAAGCGAAGAACTCAAGCCTATTATTGAAAATTCCTGCTACAGGTCCGGACCCTGATGATGTGTTGGACTCGGGCTACACGGATGCTAACGGAAATTTCGAATTGTTTGGCTCGACAGCGGAGCGAACCACCATCGATCCACAATTAAGGTTCTATCATGACTGCAATGATGGGATTACTGTAAGTACAGCTTGTGTCTTACCTTATTTATAACAGTTATGGTAGTATCTACACCACATTACTCTACTCTAACGACATCATCCATGCTGAATGTGTGGGTGCAGGACATGTCATGTGGAGAAGTATTTTCTTGCAAGACGACCACCCCTTATTTCCTCCTCCCGGACCACATTTCCTCTTCCTCAACCTCCGCCATCTTCTCAAACTTTTCCTCTTCCACTTTTCCCCGAAATCTTCCATTCCTAAATCCTCACGCAATGGTATATGAAGACGACTTACAAGTGCGTCTTTGATACTGGTACGTTAAGAAAGTGCAAAGAAGGGAGGAATGCGCCCGAAGAAAGAAAGGCAAAGTAGTGAGCATCAATCCACCCACTTGTTCACCACGGACTCTGCCTTTAACCACGAATCATATGAACTCTATTCAGAGAACATCTGCATTGCCGCTTTAACAAGAGTATTCAACTTGGGCGCAGTTCGGTTTGGTGGGGGCACCGAATTCCCTGTGACCACAGTGGGTTCCTCGCACCTTTTCCAGCATTACGCGAGTTTACGGTATCACAAGAAGAGACTCGGTATCTTAACGTGAACTAGTGCAACTAGCGAAAGCACAAAATGCCCCTCCAAGCCGAACAGCTTCACCTTCTTTTACATCCTTCTATGAAACGTACGTCAAAGTGACTCCTAGGTTCTCTGCTGAAAAAGAGAAAAAGCAATAGAATTCCGAATAGTAGATGCTGATTCCGGGTATACAGAGGGGCCAAAAAAAGACACTTTTCTTCCTTGACTTCCGAGGCGCTATAAGTTGCACTTTGTTGAATTCTGATCGGACCATATCACAGCATATTAACTACTATCATGATACTCCGCCACAGCCTTCTGGACGAGCGCCATCGAGATCTGCCACGCGACCGTGATTCGGTACCTGAGTTCAGCGAGATCGTTGATTTCTCCGCCACTGTAGACCACCCTGTTGAGCTCCGCCCGAACCGGGTAATTGAGGGGGTTTCAGGTGACACACTTAGATATTCCATCTTCTTCAGGTACTCAACGCCCTTCCATTCCAAGTAGGCGAGAGTTTTTCCAACGCCCTTCGATTCCATGTGGTGGCACCCAACCTGTAGCAGTACAAAGTTTCCAAGAAGGTACGGGCGACGACATGTGGGGAGGATATTCTTCTCGAGTTGCTCGATGTAACCGCCAGCGCTCACCTTCAGTCCGTCAGTAAAAGAAAATATCGGTCTCCTTTCAGGTACGTCCCGTCCACCATCAACCCGCGCCTTGGCGACTGCGGTGAAGATGATATCCTGGACCGTAGCGACGTTGTCGGAGCTGCTCGATGTTGGAGGTCTTCCAGATCAAGAGTAACTGTCCCCAGGTAGCTATCATGGGTGACAAGCACACATAGAATTTTGGCAGCTGTTTGGAGTGAAATCATGAATCGCAAAGGGTCTTCTCCAGTTGCTTGCGACTGAGCATGACTTCATATTTTGATGTACATAAAGATGATGGGCGAGAGCCAGCTCCTGCTTATCGAGGAACATCTTGGGTATCTTCCGCCCTGGTACTCGTATCCACGTCCTCTGTCTGGGCTGCGAAAACTTTGCTGATATGTGACTCGGTCGAAGTGTCTTTTTTTGCCCCCCCCCCCCCCTGTACATCCGTCTACTTGCTTGACTGTCTCCGTGTCCCCATGGCATAATCCCCGGTAGCCTAATACCACGTAAAAGCCAAAGCGTAATTTTGATCAGAGTCTTCGAAAATTCCAAACTTTCAACTTTATTAGGCATGTCAGCAGAACTAACCCTTTGAATATTCGTTCCTTCGAAGATGTGAATTGACCAGAAAAAACCCAAAAAGCTGAGCTAAGCATATTGCAAAACGGAGTTCTGCGAAAAAAGCCCGTCATAATATGGTGTCTGTCCCGATAATAGTTAGAAACCCCAGAAAAAAGTTAATTTTTTTCTGAGTAGTTTTTTCATGGTCCAATTTTAGCCTTGTCAACGACGATGGAAGTTCGAACTACCAAATCAATATATCACCTCAGGTACGTCATGTCATTCTTTCTGAGTATTATTCAGTTAACTCTTTCTCCGGTTACGCCATTCCTCATAGTGTTTCGGTTAGAAGGAAGCAAGGAAGACTGTCTCATCGAAAACGTTAAGGCGTTTCACTACAACTAAGGCAGGCCACATCGTGCGTAGGGAATCCTCCGCGAAAGGAGGGCAGGGTCGTACTTGGTGGCCGGAGGGAGGGAAGGGCGTCTCATTTGCCTTTGTTCTCGGCTGTTGAATTTTTTTTCATTCCCCACTTTTTACGTGCGCTATGTACCCTTGCCTGACTGCAGTTTTCCAGAAAAAAGAAAGAGACTTTTCTGAGAAGTCTCCGGAAAAAGGTGGGAATATGGGTGAAACCACGAAGGTGGTAGGTTGGATGGGGTAGGTGGTCATACAAGAGGGGAGATTCTGAGAACGGGAATCGCATTTTCCAAAAGTTTTTGCGAATGGTAGGACGTGCCTTGAAGTGAGGACAGCGCTCAAAACCACTCGACAGGTCACCGACGCTCACCAGGAAAGGTCAACAGGTCAGCCTGGCCATTTCCAATGAGCTGCACACCGTTGTACGCGTCTTGGGACAGTGAACTCAAATCTACCTTCAGAATTTGCGGAACGATTCTCTGGACGGAGTTATGGAGGGTCTTATCCCTGTGGTCTTTCATTTATGTACGGAGCCATGCTGGAACGTGGTAGTAGAGCGCAACGGGTAGAGAG